ATATTAATAAATAACAACAATATTATATCATATTAATTATTTATAATTATTTTTTATTTAATTACTGTATTTATTATAAAATATTATTATCAAAGAATACACTTTGTAATTTATAATTAAGAAATGATTTGTTAAAATGAAGTTGAATCTAACTGATGTGATTTAATATATAAGAATTAATACTATAGTCCAGGATCTTCCTTTCTTGATAAGTACAATGTACACGGAGAGACCCACATTTGTAAAAATTACTAAAAACGGTTGCAATGACCGGAAATAAGGGGACTTTTAGCATAATGTACTACAGAATTAGATAAATTTACAAAAGAAATAGATAAATTTGCTACATTGAAATAGCAAGTTTTAATACTTTGTGTAAGAGATGTAAATGTAGCGAAAATTGATTATAGTTTTCTCTAATTTCATTAGACAAAATCTGACAAATGAAAACATTTTCCACTAAAACCTACTATCCACTGTAGTAATTTTTGGTGAGCAAGTGTGGCTAGCGAGTGCAGTCATATGGCGCCTGCATTTCTATTGGTTGCTAACTTTGTCAATCTCTGTAAATGAGCCGATGCCATCCGATCATTGACAGTGACTATGTTTCGCGTATGTAAAATAAATATGGATATTATCTACAATAAGTAAATATAAAGTGAAACGTAAGTCGTTCGTTATCTCAGAAATTTACCATTATAAATTAATAAATTTTGCATTTATTCCTGTCCCAAGAACTATGTCTTATTATAAGTTGTTAAAAGTAAACTGCTTTCTCGCAAGTGCTGTAAATTTTTATCATTCAATATATAAGGAAACAAAGATGTATACTTTCAGTGAAATTCGTTGTCTAGCGTGCAGTTGTGTATTAGTGTATTAATTAACCGCTTCTACACGGAAAAAAAAGTTCGAGGATTATTCGGGAACTTCGTTCTTTACTCTTGGATACGGCGGGTAGTACACAGATAACTAAAGGTTGCCTCGTTTAAATATGTAATTTACTATTTCTCTACAAATTATAACTATTTCACCGCTTCTCGGCAAACTATTCTTGAAAAAGTCGGGAACTGTACACGAAAATCGAAAAGTTAGGCGAATGCAAGAAAAAATAGATTCTGCTTCCCCCCTCCCACTTCCCCTCCTTGACACGTCCGCACACACACACACATTTATCCTTGAAGGTCACATACAATTTTTATTTTTTATTAAGTTTCTGAAATAGAAAAAACCATATTAGAGAAAAATCGACGGCGGCTGGAACAGAACTCGCGTACCCGAGAATAGAAGTCCGGCGTCTTATCCAGCTGAGCTAAACAGGCGAGTTAAATACCTCAGCATAAAATAAATATATAAGGCACGCAAGTCTTACTGACGGTGAGACTTGTTGAGACTGGTGCGCACAGTTTCTGCGCACCAAGATTCCTTGACGAGTTCCCGAAAATTTTAGAAACAGTTGCGGCCAGTGCCATGCACTTTACATGAGAAAGTAATGAAAAAGAGACTAATGGACTATTTATAGCTTTTTCTAATACAGTTCCCGAATTTCTTTCAAACATTCATTGATTACCATTGAATGTTCGTCGCTAGTTCAGAGCTGTTACCACGTATCCAAGACTTAGGAAATAATTCCTGAAATATCTGGGAACTTTTTTTTTCCGTGTATACATATAAGTGAAATAAACATTTATTTATTTATTTAATAACATAACGGGACATGCCCTTTCGTACATTACGTACTCTCTAATTCTAAGAGTTACATTTGTAACATATAAAAACAGGTACAGTATGAAGGTTGGCGCTTCAAAAGTTCAAGTTCGGTATAGATGTAAACACCGTTGTAGTGTAATAATGAAAATAAAGTAATATAATTAGACATTTTTGTTTTTCCACTGAGTTCATTAGAAAGTTAGTTATTGTAGTGGATCTTACAGTTTAATAGAAGAATATCAAATTAATATTAATAAATGACAAATTTGTATCTCTATCCGAATTAATTATAAACAATTAGTAAAAATTATATGAAAAATAAAATTAAAAATTCTGAATGAAATAAGATGTTTAAAACGGTCTAGAAACTGTAAGAATATATAGAAATTCAAAAAGTAACATAAAAAATGAGGAGGGTATTATACACATTTTTTGCTTAACAAAATGTCATTTTGAGAAATAAATCACAATACTCTAATGGAGTTTAACTTAAAAAAAACCATACACAAAAAGTTTGCTGAATACATTTAAACACTGAAGAGAATGATGACAGAAGAATTAATCCAAAACCAGGTACTGCAGTTGGATTGGCCAACTGTTTACCCGCCTATCTGAAGTGTGAGAGTAGAAGTACGTTTACGGGGAGGGATTTTAATAATTGTGGGGACTCCACGACATGTGTGTGTCTTCAAATATTTATCCAACAAATATATAAGTGTGTGTGTGTGTCTGTGTATGTAAAAATCCTTCCAGTTTATCTCCATTAGTCAAGAATTGACAGGAAACCGGAGATAAAAATCCTTATTTTTTCTTTCACTCTTTCTTTCTGCATTTACAAACGACTATAGTAATTTTACGTACACAATATTTCTGAGTTTACTACACACTAAAAAAAAAGTTTTACTTTTAGCCTGTTTTCGAGGCTGAATTTAAGGTGTAAACGGAGTCAGCCCCATTAAACAAGGACAGACTTATGTGAAATACATGGGCTGAATTTAAGGTGTAAACGGAGTCAGACTTTTTTTTTCCTGTGTACAGTTGTTTGGAACTATTGGATGAAATAGTAAGAAACTTTACTAATTTGTTGAACATTTGTCGGATTAATGACTTAGTGTAGAAAATAGTAAAAAATACAAAAAGTCCTCTTATTTCCGGTGGTTGCAATGTGAAAATAGTAAATTCTAGTGTGATTTTATACAAAAATGACCAATCTCGGTCTCTCCGTGTACCGTATAGGACCGACATAACCTACCACGTAATTTGTAGGACAATGTGACTTTTAAATTATATAAATATTAAGGAATGAACATTTAAAAAATCAGCTGGTTAGTAATCATTTTAAATGATAGATTTAATAAAAAAAACTGACAGTTAGTAATAAATTTTTGAGACTCATCGAATCGACATATTTTATCCCTCCTACCCTGTTAGTTACCACAATGGAGATTTTTTTTGTAAGGAAAAATGTTGGGCTTCTCATCAAAATGAAGCTACTCACAAAAAATTAGCTTGTTAGTAATCAATGGGAAAAATGTACACGGGATCCTGGACTACTACTATTTATAAGATATTTTAAATATTTAAGTATATTGCGGGAAATTATTTTGTACAACTTCTGTAAAGTTTACAATGGACAAATAAATAAATATAAAATATTATTATAATCTTTACTATACTATTACTATTATTCGAGATATTATTATTATTATTAATATATTGTATACAAGATTTACATAGGTACTAAATAAATAAATATGAAGTAGGTAAAAATAATAATAATATTTTAATTAATTAATTAATTTTAATAAATTAAAACTATGAAAAAATGAAATAATGGGATAAAATTATATTTATTATTAAAAATTTTATTAATTCAATAGACTATGGAACTGAAATAAAATATAATTTTTTGCATTGACTTTAAGAAGTTTACTTCTTCCTATGGAAAAAAGACTATTTAAAAATAAAACAGATCGCGACCACAACTCTTTGAAAAGACATGGACCAATGAATAATGAGACCGGAAAATTGTTTGTTAATTTTTCTTAGTACAGTGGCGGATCCAGGGGGGGGGCACGGGTGCTTGGCCCCCCCAAGAGTCGTGTATTCTTATTAGATAGAAAGAGATAACACTATATTGATTTCATTTTTTTAATGGATGGCCCCCCCCAAAAAGCTTTTTTGGAATGCTTGGCCCTCCCCAGAAGCCTTGTCTGGATCCCTCACTCTGTTAGTAGGAGTTTTTATCATGTAATTATGTACTCAAAAGAAGAGAAAGAAGAAAATGAAGAAAAAGAAAGAGGAAGTAGAAAATATCTTTTTTCAATAAGAAAACTGGACAAACAGCATTCAAGTTTATAGTAAATATATGTAAATAATAAAATAATAATAATCATATATATATATATATATATATATATATATATATATATATATATATATATATATATATATATATATATATATATATATATATATATATAAAAGAATATCCTTTTGTGTCGACATGCTCTGTCTGCTGATTAACAGCGTGAGAAAATATTGTCTAAAAGACAATCAACTTATTACGCTTGCATTTCTATTATTTCACTTGTGCAATTTACATCTAATTTAGGTTGATATTTTCTTCCATGTGGTTACAATGAAAAGTGCAAGTGCACGTTTTTGAATATACTATAATAATAATTTAATATACATTATAATATGATAACTAATATTATATATTTAATATTAATTAATCTGAAAATTATGAGAAATTTAAAAAAATGAAATAATCAATAAAATACATTAATTATTATGATTACTTTATATTATTCTTTTATTTATTTAGAGTTGTGAACGAACTACAAATCTTTATCTTCATTATATCTTTTTTATTATTTTAATATTAAATTTAATTGAACTATTAATAATTTATATTCATAATTATTAATTAATGTAATTTATTATTATTATTACCTTATATAACAATAATTAATAATTTTATTAAAAATAATTGTAATACAAAAATTTTAAAAAATAATATGAAATGTAAATAAGATATATAACAGACAATAATTATTATAATATTGGAAAAAATCGTAAATGTTATTAAATTCCTATTAAAAGAATAATTATTAATGTTAAGAGAAATATAATAAATTAAAGATATAGTGAAAATATTTAATTAAAAAAAAGTGATTTGTTTCAATTAAAACTTGTATAATTATATAATATAAACATAATTTTCATTTAAAATTTATATTAATAATTCAATAATAAGTAGATAATGATTATTTATTTTCGGTACATACCAAAAGTTTGTATAATTATCACAAATTTTTAGATGAACTAAATTGTTTTGAGGTTAAAACTTTTTTTGACATTGAACTTGAATTTTTTTCATAGACACTTTAAGTGATTAGAAAAAAGTTCGTTGCACTTATCACTTAATAAAGAATAGTTTTAACAATATGTGTATATATACATATACGAAATGAAGCGAACGTCAGAATATCAACTGTGAACACACCTGTTCGAGTAAAGAGCGCACAACAAACTGAATAAGCTATGAAAGTATCGAAGACTGTTTCCCTACCTATAGTAAATTTATACAGTCAGTTCACAACTTAAAACATGCTATAGAAATATTGAGAAAATTTATAGAATTTTACAATTTCTCTAGGTTAAAAAAATTTTTTTTTTTATATTTGATCTTTAGTTTTTTTAAATTTTATATAACCAATTTTAAAATTTTTAGTTAAGAGGTTTAATAATAAGTTTAAAAATGACAAGTTTTGTTCATTAGTAATATAAATAGTGTAAACAAAAAAATTCTCAAACAAATAAAATGTACTCTGCACTACAAATTGAAATAAAAATTATGAAAATCCATAAATATATGTGGACGTCCGCATGAAAAGGGACCAGTTTGGTACTATTGGACTTATCTATATGGTCAAATTCCTTGTTCAATTTGGGAAATTTTGATACGTCTTAAGTCCAATTTGGTGCAAAAATCGCTGAGTTATAGTTTTTTAAAGTTCAGAATGTCAAAAACCTCATTTCCAGAAAATTGAAATCAAAGATTGTAATACAAATATCTTTGGTTCTTTTAGGAAGTTATTCAGATAAGAAATGTTTTAATTCTAGTACACCTTTAATAAGATGAAAAATTAATAGGTTTCGAATTCCCTCCCCCCTTCCATTTTGAAACAATGAAAAAATAACGGGCACCCGACAAAGTGTTCCTTTTCTAAAATTGCGTTTTTTTAATTAATGAACCTAATTTTTGGCGAAGTTAATGGTGAATAATCTTAGAAAATATCGAAATTTTCATTTATAAAAAAACGAAATTAAAAATTGTAATGGGAATTCCTTTGGTTCTTCTGGGAAGTTATTCAGATGACAGTTGTTTTAAGCTTAGTACACCCTTAAGATAAAAAATCAAAATGTTTTGAATTTTTCCGCCCCCTCCATTTTGAAACAGAAACAACTTTTGCAACAGACCGACAAAGTGGTCCCTTTTCATTTTTTTGTCTAACAACGAAGTAAAATACTTAAAGTATCAATAAATGAATGAAAAATGCATGATTCGACGTGTGAGACCCTATACACTGTAAAAAAGGGAGTTAAATTTTAACTCCCCAGGGGATTCTATAAAAGTCGCACCCATTAGGGAGTTAATGCCAGGGGAGTTAAATAAAGAAAGTTAAGGGGTTACATCACCCTGACAAAATTTTTTTTTAAAAAATCATATCAAAAAAATCCTACGTCACGTCATAGAGAATGTTATTGAGCAGTTGTGTACAAAATTTAAAGAGAATCGGTTGAGTAGTTTTTGAGAAATCATGTACACCGTTCCGAAAAATGTAGTTTCGAAAAACGCCATATCTTCGCCATTTTTGAATATTTTTTCATTTTTCAAAATTTTTTTAACAGTTAAATATATGTATTTTTATACAGTAATTAGTAACAAGTTGTATTTTTAGTAGTTTTGTCAAAATTTATTTTTGAAATTTTCAGGCGTTCAGGGTGGTGTAACCCCTTAAAACTTCACACCCACCCAGGAGGAAAAGTCGGACGAATGTCGGAGTTTACAACCGCCTGGGATCCGCGCCCGTGCGGTCCGCCAGTACCGATGTTTTGTACCGATTCGGATCCCAAAATTCAACCGGCGCGGAACAGATTAGGCTCAGAATTTTGGATCCGCCTTTCTACTTTCGTCAGTACTGGCGTGGTACTGGATTTGTTCCGCCTGCGGATTTCATTCTTCTACGGGCGTCGGAAGAATGACGGATGTTAGGTCTGTACTGGCTCGGTGCTGGGGCGGATCCGACTGCGGATCTCGTCATTTATTGTTATAGTTCACATTATCAGTATAATCATAAATTTATTTTATTATATATATCATAGCTAATTAATTATTACAATAACTAATTGCATTTATTGTAATAATATTATTATTATTATTATTATTATTATTATTATTATTATTATTATTATTATTATTATTATTATTATTATTATTATTATTATTATTATTATTATTATTATTATTATTATTATTATTATTATTATTATTATTATTATTATTATTATTATTATTATTATTATTATTATTATTATTATTATTATTATTATTATTATTATTATTATTATTATTATTTAACCAATAAATAAATTAATTGTATTGATGCAAAGGAAGAATATAAGAAACTTAATTTTTTCATTATATTTATAAAAATCCAACTTTATTAATGTACAATTAAATAAATAATTTTTAATAAATAATAATATTAACTTGAAAGAAAATGTGTTCAATATATAATAATACCTACAATAAATAACACATTAAATAAATATATAAAAGACAGATTATTAATTAATTTATTTATTGTTAATTAATTAATAATCTCTTTTTAATTTAAACAATATATTAAGTAATTATTTATTGACACTTTTCTGCAAATTAAATAATTAAAAAAATGTGTTGTGCATTCAAATTTCATTCAATTATTAATAATTACGTAATAAAATATTAAAAAATATAATAATAAAATAACAATTTTAACAAGTTCCTTTTTAAACGAAATATTAAAATATTCATAAATACCGGTATTACATCAGTTCGTATTTCCAAATTGCCTATTGCCGCGTAGTAATTTTACAATTTTCATTTTAGCTAGTGAGACTTGAAAGCATTTAAGGTTTGAGATTTCCATGCGAGCGTAGCATAGTGGTTAGCGTGCGAGATTTCGGTGCGTAAATATTCGGTTAGGCGTAGGTTCGTACCCCCAAGCGTTAGGATTTTTCAAATGTGAATATAAAAAAATACCGTTAAGTGTATAAAAAAATGTGTAAAGTGAACTATCAATGAATTGTTATCAGTATTTATCTTTTGCAATTAATTATTATTTTTTTATTGATATTTGTTGAAATTATTATTTTGATCCGAGCCGGTTACCGGGCGGTAGAATGCCAGTTCCGAGACGGATGGCCAGCCAGCTCCTGGCCAAGTCATCTTTTGGTAGAATACCAGTTCTCGGGCGGTTCCCAGCCAGTACCACTACTCCGGCGTCGGTACAGGCGAGGATCCGCGCCGGTTGGAAATTTCCCACTGGGCAAATGCAAACTCCCCAAGGAAAAAATGACTCGCGCGGGTGTTGAATGAAGGGAGTTAGAAATTAACTCTCTTTTGGAGTTAATTTTTAACTCGAAAAATTTCACTCCCAACTCCCGAGTCCGTTAACTCCCTAAATTTTTTACAGTGTAGATTAAGAAAAAAGAATAAAAAAGATTCGATATTTTTTTCAAAATTAGTAAATTGCGATTATCTCGGAATCTAGAACCGACAACCCTAGTAGAAATTTGTCATGGAGCCACTCGATTATTCAAGTTACTGGTCAGTTTTTGGCACGGTTGCTGATTCTAGGCGGACTGGTAAATAACTGTGAAGTTACTGACCGACGTTCTTCGTCAAAGATTCAAGTTGAATTTGATATTGGCTAGACATAACTTCTGTCTAGTCTTTTTAATGCTACTTTAAAGTACCTAGAAATTATATTTCTAAGTTTGTCGTGTCGATGGCACTGGAATAATGTCTAATAACTGGACAGCTCGAGAAGTAGTTTCCCGCAGTATTTGGTGCCCTGAATCCGAATCTGGCAACAAAGACCTCCCATCACGTCAGGATTTTGAGAAAAATGGGGGTAAATTCCCAAAAATCACTTTTTTAGGAGTTTTTGAAAATTTCTACCGGGTAAATCCGACGTGCTGAAGACTTGTCATAGGAGTCAAATTAAGGCACTTTTCCTATGTGACGGCCGAAATTTCAGGCTTTTTTCAGGAATTTTTTTTTCACAGAAAATAAAATATAATTCTATAACTTATTTTACATGTTATAATTGGTGTCTAAAAATACACAAAAAATTTTTTTTAGTGATTTTTCAAATCATTAAATAATTATTTTTATGAGTCAAAGGTGACTCCTTTGAAAATGCACGGCTGAACGGTCGCAACGATAACTTTCTTCAGTATTGTCTAAAATAAACAAATCAAACGTAGTTTTTTTATTTAGTTTTTTAGTAGGCTTACTGTTATCGTGTGAACCTCAATAAACAATTTATCTTAATAAATAACAAAATGGCGGACTGTTAAAAAAAATTTCAAAATTCGCTTGTTTTTCCGTAAGACATAGCGATATTGCTAACAACAAACTAAATTAACCGTCAAAAATTATTTTTTTAACAGTTGTCAAGCATAAAAATTGACTGACACTGTCCGTAAATAAAAATATTTTGAAAAATGATTGGATTCGCTTAAAATTTGTTTTTCAGGGGTTTCCGGGGTCGCTGATTACGAATATGTTGTCAAATTTTCAAAATATCGGACAAAAATTTACCTTGCCAACAGGTGAGGAAAGTACGATAGTAGCAATCGTAGCAATATTAAATGGATGTTCGTGATACTTCGGGTATCATCGGCCTTCTTCAACTTGACGCTATGCAGGCAGCACAGTAAAAATTTGTAAGCAGCACAGTCTATTTTATTAACCTGCGCATGACTTTTCATGGTACGGTTAATATATTTTGCTTTGGACCAAATTAGAAAGTCCTAGTTCAGCAATTTTTAAGATGCTTTCAAAGAAATATTCCGAGGCCATTTTGGAAATAAAACTGTTTTCCATATGAAATAAAATTGTGCGCAAGTCAATATTTCTATTCTTCCGATACAAATAGTTCAGTAAAAACATTTTGCACATACTTTCAGGTGACAAGCACAGTAATTTTTATTGGAAATTTCTCTCCGTGTAGTTACTTCAGAAATTGACTTGTCGATTTTTTCATAATCCTTCAAAGTTTTGAGAAAACACAAATCTTGATGTGGCGCTTTAATTGCCAAATTGCATTGAAACCAAGGCTTAACATAAACAGTTACAATAAAAATGCAAATATCTTGTAAACCTTGTTTCTCTTTTTTGCCTAATTTGTGTTGAGAGCGCAATAAAAATATTTTTAAAGAATAAATCGCTCTTGCCAT